TTGATGATTGTTGCCCACAGCTAAACCAGAGCCATTTAGTTTATTACAACATAAAAAGAAGGTTTTTATTCATTAAATCTCATGTTATAGTAATATGATTGCACACACAACCTTGCAGAACAATACTTACCTGAAAGTTTTTCATGATTTAAATCTATATTTATATGTAAATTAGTTTAAGTTGTCTTAGGGCGCTGTCACACCTCGCCCATTTAGCCAGGGTATGCCTGACGTCCCAGAATCTTCTAAAATGCTGGCATACGCTGAACTTTCTATGTATTTTTCCGAATTTTGGGCAAATACATAGAGTATTCATAACGAGTCCACTTTCGTCCAATGACAGCCTAACTTATGCATAACGCAGGGCAGCGTAACGCCCATTAAATGATGCACAAGCATCAGTTAAAGCTGATCTCCTCCTGAGAGGAGCAGCAATGCGCCCGGAGGCATCCAGCCTGCATAAAAAGCTTTGTTTATTTTTCCTTTCCTGTTCTACTTACACTGTAGTGTCCATATAATCTGTAATACTCCCTACATTATCATGATAAAGCTATTTATATGCATAAATCAAGCGGAACACTATGGTGATAGCCGTACTGCTCCACTTGTGAAAGCAAAATCTGTTACGCTCTTTTTTTGGCATCAAGACAATTTTTCTTATTGCCACATTGCCAGACAGGACACTGTTAAAAAACAAAAAATAAAATAAAAGATTTCTTTGATCGCAGTATTAACCTAGCTGCAGAATTTTCGCACGTCAGACATACGCTGGTCTAAATCGTCAAGGTGTGACAGCAGCCTCAGTGGATGCACAGCCAACCATTACTGCTATTAAATGACTCGTCTTTGCAAAGTGTACCTTGTACCAGACTGTTACGGTTTTCAGGGAGGACAAGGCGTTGCAGGATGCTACCAGATCTTCCCCTGTAAGCATAACCTCTGAGTCTTTAGGAATCACAACTGCTGGGTCCAAGTCTGAAACAGGAGAAGCAAAAACAATAACATAACTTATATGGTCACTAATTGTTCTACGTTTCTCCTTGAGAACACTTCCATGTCTATCATTAGCAGTGGCGCCACTAGGGGGTGCCCAAGGCATTGCACAGGGTGGCCACTGCTAATGATACAGATGGACCCCCTGTGCAATAGCCTCATGAGACCATCCTGATCTGCGAGCTTTCAAGGTTTCAC